CCCCCCCAGAAAGGCTGCCCTCGTGCCCTTTGCACCTTCCTCTTCCTCTCCATCCTCTCCTGCAGGTGTGGAAGGTCAGAATTTGGCCTTAGGGAAGCCGGCCAGCCAGTCTTCCATCCATCACCATGACATCGTTGGGTCAGCAGACAAAGCGGTGGACGGGAACTGCAACGGGGACTGGTACAACAACTCCTGCATCCACACCAAAAACGAGATGAACCCCTGGTGGTTGGTGGACCTGGGGGAGCCCCGTAAAATTTCGGTGGTCTTGGTGAAAACCCGCTATGACTGCTGTGCCAAAAGGATGTATGAAGCGGAGGTCCACTTAGGAAATTCTCTCAAAGACCACGGAAGAGCCAACCCTCTGTAAGTAGCTTGGAGCCAGTCACCCCCCTCACACAGAGAATTCACAAGCAGTGTACATGATTTTTTGGGGGGGGGGGTCTGTACAGTGGTGGGATTCACATTTTTTTACTACCAGTTCTGTGGGCATGGCTTGGTGGGTGTGGCGTGGATTGGTAGACGTGGAAGGGGACGGATACTGCAAAATCCCCATTCCCTCCCCTCCTCACTGACCTGCTTTCCAGCTCCATTCTCCTGTGCAGGGCAACCAAAGGAGACCCAGCCGATCAGCTGTGGGCATGGCATTCTGTGGGTGTGGTGTTTGGTGGACGTGGCTTGGTGGGCGTGGTGTTTTGTTGGTGTGGCTCGGTGGGCATGGCAGGGGAAGGATAAAATCTCAATTCCCTCCCCACCCCACTAACCTGCTTTCCAGCTCCGCTCTCCTGTGCAGGGCAACCAAAGGAGACCCAGCCCATCATCTGGGACTTGGAAGGCAGACAATGGATGGGGGCGGGGCCAGTCAGAGGTGGGATTGGCCGGTTTTCTGAACTATTCAAAATCTCCACTACCGGTTCTCCAGAACTGGTCGGAACCGGCTGAATACCCCCTCTGGTGCTATTGCGTATGAAGTGCCAATTTTGGGCTGGTGGCCAAGGTGGCATGAGTTCATTGGTGTGGACCTTGTGAGATCACCTCCCTCCTTGCTCCCCCAAGAGACAGGGAATGACCTCACTTGATACCACCTCCCTACGCTATGGGTCTCAATTGTGTGTGGGAGGGGTGTATGGCTGTGCGAACTCCACCTGATTGTTAATTTTCAGTATCGTTCACGTTGCAAATCGGGTTCCTTCAGCACCGGCTAAAGCACTTGATATGAGGCCATGGGGCTGGGGTGGAAAAGGGGGTTTCTCTGCTTGGGTTTTGTACAAAATGCCGGTCCCTGCACCTCAAAGAGATGCTCTTAAGTGGAAAATATGGTTCCAAAGTCTTTTGGAGTGGGGATTGCAGAGTTGAGGAGAAGGGAAGATGAGGAGGAGGAGGAGGGGAGAGGAGAGAAGGAGCAGGACGAGGAGGGGGAGGACCATGGGGTTCTGACCTCAATAGTTTTCTTGCAGACATTTCACTACCCAACTAGCTATCGTCATCAGTGCATGATGATGTTGTATGATCATTGCTGCACGAAACCCCTTCAAGAGAACCACCAAACTCAGAGAGGACCCCGCAAAGAAAGGCAGACTTGATCATGACATTCCCTCAGAGAAACTGTTGCACAAGGGAGCAAAAGAGATATTTTCCTTGATAATAGAGCAATCTAAGTACTTTTTTAAAAAAAAACCCGCACCCCTCCACAGGCCTTCCCACTTGGTTAATACTTCCAATTAATTGGAATATTAAAGGCACCATGGAGGCACAACAGCAGAGCAGGGCTGGGCTGCTAACGGTTCACCCCGGTTTGGAGGAACCGGTGGCTAATTTTATCCTTTTAAAGGGCTGGTTCGGCGAATTGGTAAATCCCACCCCTGGCTGGCCCTGCCCACCCTGCCCTTCCCCTCCCAGGAGCCCCCACCTCATTTTGGATGCAGGTAAGGACGGGGCCTGAGCAGAGGCTCGGGAAAGATGAAAAAAGGGGCTCCTGTTTTCTGGCCTCCAGACGGCCTCCAGAGTCTGGGAAGGACTTGACAGAAGCCTCTGGTGCAGGAGGCCGACTAGGCCACACCCACCCTGGCCACACCCACCCAGCAACTGGGAAGAGAGCCGGTTGCTAAAAATTTTTTGAAGCCGATCCCTGCAGCAGAGGCAGCAGAGGGTGTGAGGTCTGGACTGCTGCTGAAATGGGGCTGCCTTTGAAGATTCAAGGGGGGGGGGGGGGACTGCGTCCCGGGGGTGGGGGGGGGGGTGCCCAGCAGGTGGGGAGGCTCTCCTCAACATGACCTCTCTTGCCCCGCAGCTGTGGAATCATCCTGAACGTCAGCCCAGGTTCCATCACTACCATCTACTGCAACGGGCAGGAAGGCCGCTACATCAGTGTGCACCTGCCCGGGAAGGACTACTTGAACATGTGCGAAGTGGAGGCCTACGGCATCAAGTAGAGAAACCACGGCTCGGGTTGGGGGCCAACCCGTCTCCTGCCAAACGCCAAGTGCTCTCCCCAAAGAATCTGAATAAACGGGCTACTAAGAGGCATTCTGGGGTTTCCTCAGATTTTTAGTCCTCCAAGGCAGTGGTGGGATTCAATTTTTTTTATAGTACCGGTTCTGTGGGCGTGGCTTGGTAGGCGTGGTGTGGCTTGGTGGGCGTGGCATGATGGGCGTGGCAGGGGAAGGATACTGCAAAATCCCCCTTCCCTCCTCACCCCACTGACCTGCTTTCCAGCTCCGTTCTCCTGTGCAGGGCAACCCAAGGAGACCCAGCCCATCAGCTGGGACTCAATGGGAGGCGGAGAAGAGACGGGGTTGGCGGGGCCAGTCACAGGTGGGATCGGCCGGTTCTCCCAACTACTCAAAAGTTCCGCTACCAGTTCTGTAGAACCGGCTGAATCCCACCTCTGTTCCAAGGGTGGAGAGATTTGTCACACACACACACCCCACCTCCTGCAGTGGCCAGGGCATCTGCTGGTGAACAAGAGAGAACATTTTTTTTAATGGGAGGTGGGCTTTGAGTGTCTGCGCACCACAGACCCTGGCTGTTGTCCCCGGCAGGCACCCAGGATTCAGGCCTTCCTGGTTATGGTGGTTTCCCCAGCCTTCATGGCAGCCGCCCAGAGACCGGTAGAAGGCGGGCAGCTCTATCAATATTTTAAATAGATACAGAAAACTCCAGGGGACAAATCTTTCTTCCTTCCTTCTTTCCTTCCTTCCTTCATCCCCCTCCCTCTTTTCCCTCATTGCCTCCCTTCCCTTCTCCCTCCCTCTTTTTCCTTCCTTCCTTCCTTCCTTCCTCCCTTCCCTCCCTCCTCCCCCTCCCTCTTTTCCTCCTTGCCTCCCTTCCTTTCTCCCTCCCTCTTTTTCCTTCCTTCCTTCCCTCCTCTCCCTCCCTCTTTTCCCTCATTGCCTCCCTTCCTTCCTTCCCTCCTCCCCCTCCCCCTCTTTTCTTCCTCCCTTCCCTTCTCTCCCTTTTCCTTCATTCCCTCCCACTTTTTCCTTCTTTCCTTCCTACCTACTTAGCAATAGCACTTAGACTTATATACCACTTCACAGAGCTTCACAGCCCTCTCTAAGCAGTTAACTCTAACCCTCCTCCCTCCCTCCCTCCCTCCGCTTCCTCCCTCCCCTTCCCT